TTGAGTTGTGGGTTGGAGAAGCGCACTAAATATCCCATAGATGGCCAGGAGAACAAACAGATATGCCTTGGAGAGGGTGCTGTCAGAGTGCTCTTTGGATGCAAGAATGATGAGGCTTTGCCTCATCTACTTTGGGCATGTTGCTAGAAGGTCCAACTCCTTGGAGAAGGACATGATGCTGGGAAGGGTGGAGGATTGGCAAAGGAGAGGACAACCCTAAACCAAGTGAATTGACATGGTGACTGCTGCAATGGGCTCTTGTGTGTCAGTAAATGTGAGGATGGTGCAGGATGGAACAGGGTTCAGATCTTTTGTTCATATGGTTGCTGTAAGTCATACTTGACTCAACGGCACCTAACAACAACAATAATATTGCTCTGGAGGACTTATCAATGAAAAAAATAATTAACACTCATCCTGTACTATGGAACAAGTACTGTAAGCAGCACAACAAAAGGTCTAACAATGATATACTTAAATGCACAGAACTCTTACTAGTCTAAGTTTGGAGCCTAGCTGTCTGACTGAACCCTAAACCGCTCAGTGCCTCAGTTTCCTAATTTGCAATATACAGATAGTTATAGTCCCTATTTCACAGCGTCCCTGGTTTAAATGAGTTACAGCATATAAGAATTTTCATACTAAGTATTCAAAAAGTACTGACTCACTTTTTATGAAGCACCCACTCTTAAATGATGATGTGTGTGCATTTATTAGAAACCACATTTTTAAGTGAAGCAACTGATAGTTCAGATGGCTAACTAATTGGCCCAATGCAACACACAGCCAATAAAACATGGGGCCAGCTAGGGTTCTAGCCAATGCATTCTTACTAAAGAGCCAACCCTCTTAATCGCTGGGCTATACTGGAGGATTATATTAAAAGGAAATAATACACATACTTACTTAGTTCTATAGTTGTTTTTATCTCCTCCAAGCACTGAAAAAGATGTGACTGCACATCCACCATTGTCTAATGTCGTTGATTTTTCAATGAGATTAGTCACGAAATCGTCAAAGTGATTGCCAACTTCCTTCATAAAAAATGTCTTCAATTGCTATAATTTAATACAAATAAATAAACCTTTAGAATAAACCTTTAGAAACAAAAACACATTTGTGGCTCATTGACCAGTTTCTAAAGAATTGCTAAACAGAACTGTATCAAAAGAAAATAGTTCTAAGTAAGTGAATTCACAGGAGTTAAAGCAACAAACTGATTTCAATAACTGATCTGCAGTTTCTGAAATGGCTAATGAAACAGCAACATAGTTGGTTTAACCCTTTTTTATAAAGTTAATACCCTTTAAGCGTGAATTAAGGAAAAGTAATCATCTATTAAGTAAATTTACAAAATGATATATAAAAATCAAAGTACCAGATACTATGAAAATGGAAAATTAATTTTTCTTTATTTGGAAGGAAAATAGTAGGGGGGATCAACTTAAAATGATCTCATATAATGATCTCATATAATTGTTGTTTCTGCTGTTGAGTTGCTTGAGATTCATAGTAACCTTGCTCTATCCTGTGCCAACCTCAACGTCTTCAACACACGCACTCCCATCACCCCAATCACAGAATCGATCCATCTCATCGAGGGTCTTCCTCTCCTGCACCATCTCTCCACTCTCCCAAACATGATGTCCCTCTCCAAGGACCAGTCCCTCCTTGCAA